AGGTCCACCAACATGGTGTTCTATAATGGGTAACATTATCTTTCAAATATATATATATATATATATATATATATATATATATATATATACACACACACACATATATATTTTTTTAAAAAAAGAATGATAATACTGAGAACCAAGGCATTCATATTTCAAAATTCATGCTTCTTTTCAGTTGATCCAATATTTTGCCAACTAAATTTTTAAAGTTTGTTCAGAGCCAACATTGCTCATATACTTTACCCACATTTATTTCATATATCTAATTTCCCCATAAAGACCTTTGATAAACATCTAAAATGTTYAAGTTTTAACATATTTGAGATAAAACTGAAACTGTCACTCATGTGTTTGAGTATCACAAGTTATTCAACCAACACAAAAAATTAAAATCTTAATGGCACAGCATGTATTATAAATAAATCAAAACAATAGCATGTGTAACACAAAGACAGAGCAGTTGCACATTAAATGAAAACTAGCTGAATATAAACAACAACTGTCTGCTACATAGCATAAAGTGAAAAGGGTTCCAAGTGAAGTGAGACAAGCTGATGGAGAGGTCACCATGATGCTGCCAATTGAGTTTCCTTCTAACCACTGTTTTCCAGAATGGAAATTTTTAAAAAAAATCATATTTGTGAAAATTTTTGCTAGGTATACTATTATCTCCAAATTTTAAAAAATTCCAATGCATCTGCCCTCTCAAAATAGAATAAAGCTCTAATTTTTCTGTCAACTGGTGTTTTGATCACACATAATTTTGGGGGGTTGACGTTGACCCTTGTATCAACCAAAAGTAGTCCATAATGACGTGTTTTTTAAAACTTACTAGTCAAATATTAGAACAGTTACAGTTATCAATTTTTTTTCACAGTTCAAATTTGACAAATTTGCATCAAAATCATGTGGCACACATCATGTAATTCAAAGCCTCAACTCATTTTTCCCCCGTATGTTGTTTCACATACTGGTTGACTGAGTAACACACATTAGATTTTATTCTGAGGRAAAAACTGATCTCACCATACACTGACTAAATGACCATAAAGGAAATAAAGGTGTTTCCTTTCTTTAGACCTATTCCAATATGTTAAAATATAAAAGAGAAAGACAAAGATAAAAAAAAATACTTGTCTTTTGTTCCTTGACAACCACCAGAAAGAATCATTTAATGAAATAGGTTTATTTATTTTTTTGTTTTATAACACTTGAAAGTTTAAAATACACTTGTGTGTGTGTATATATATAAACACACACACACACACACACACACACATACATATGTATCTACATCAGTACTCTTGTATAGTAAAAGTATCTAGTTTTTGTTTATTTGCCTCAGTGTACTACACTTTTATCTACAATTTCATTACATGTATACAGTAAATAGGCAAGTTTGGATTTTATATTCTTAATGATTTTTTTTTCTATACAGGGAGGTTTAAAAAAAATACTTGAGCAGTTTTCCCAGTAGTTTGATGCATAATGGATGTACCTTRTTCTCAAAATTTTATTAGGGAGGTATAAAATAAAGATTCTATAATTTTAACTCAAATATCCATCTTTTAAAAAATAGTGTTGAGGTTTGTTTTTTGCATTACTTTTCAAAACTTCTCAAGTTTTTCTCTCATGGCACAATCTTCTAATACTTCAAATGTAGCAGGCAATTAAAAAAACAGTTGCATCTTCTGCCTTTGGTGGGCACTGTAGTGACTGAACAAAATATCAAATTTTGAATACTTTTGAATCACTTCACCAATGAMTGGCCTGACCAAAGAAGGTTCACGCATGATGCATCATCACACAATTCATTAAGGGAAAGCTTGATTTCACTATGGGAAGAAAAGATTCCTAGAAACATCTCTCAGTTACTATTTCTGTCACTGAGTAGTTAAGGGCCATCTGTCTCCCGTCTTAAGGAGGCCTTCTTACCATTCAGCTGGGGTGAGACATTGAAAGATGATCAGTGCTGTAGAATAATTTGGGCCTTAATACGTTATTACTATTCAGTGGAGTTTCAAGAACCACTTTTATTAACATGGGGAGAAAAAGCTGAGTAGGAGGACAACAATTTCATTATCATTTGTTCAGTTAGATGGACAAATGGACAATCCCTCAGCTTGCTGCACTGATTACAGACAACCAAAAGTGATTACAAGTTAATTGATAAGCCGGCAGGCATGGTCAGGTCATGACTGGGTGAAGAGCTCAGAGATCAGAGGTTCATAGGTTAGTTGCCAATGGCAGCTTGCCCTGAAGTCACAATCCTTTGGTAATGAAGGAAACACATATTTTTCCTTCAAAGTTTAGTAACCACTGTACCTAATAAACCACTGGGTTCAATAGGGTACAAGGATTGAAGTAGGTGGTGCCAATGTGTAAGGATATTTGTATGRTGTGTTGATTTACCTAGCCTCAGGCTCTTGAGGGACTATTGCAGCAGTTTGGTGAGAAGTTCCATTTGGAAAGGTAGAAGTATGTATTTGTCTGATCAAAGATATGGTGGTAGGGCCAGCTGGTAGGAGTACTCAGGGCAGTTGGTGGGAGGACAAGCCCAGGATCAGTTATGATCCTTGGAGCATACTGGGCTGTTGCCACAAGAGTAAAGGCAAGGGCTCTGATTTAATGTTKGCTTCTCTGCAGGTGTAATTCAGAATCAGGAGCTCCATCAGCTGCTGCTGTCTGCTGATTCTGCTATAGGTACCAGTCCAGTCATTTCCAGTCCAGTCATTTCTTCACTTCTTTAACTGCCCTCCTCATTTTTATTTCTGTTTTGCCCTGAGCATCTTCCACAGTGATCAGCACATGCAAATCATCATTTACATGCTCCCAATTAGGT